ACCCATCCATCCATCCATCCATCCACCCACCCATCCATCATCTTTTCTCTGAGTTGCACCTGAACCTGGCTGGGGGTGAGTGTCCTAGTCATGGCCACCATGTCCCACAGCTGGGAAACAGATGCACACCCCTGTGTGTCGTACCAGATGCTGGGGCAGAGCATGTATATGTTGACCAGATGTTCAGTTACCCAGACTGAACTGCGCTTAGAACAGTCCAAGAAAACCCAGGGACACCCTCTCCACCCACCTTGTTTCCTGGTCTTCTGTCACTTCCGCTGACCTGTGGGTGAGGAGGAGAGGGTGTTATTGCCCATTTGGGACCTGGGGCAATCCCATTTACTGACTGTGGCTGGAAACCTCCCCAGGAAGGCAGCCACCATGCTGCTTTCTGGCAGGAAACCGGTGTCGGTCTGCACCTGCCGCGTAAGGGACAAGCCCAAAGAGACAAGTGAGGGGACAGAGGAGCTGGGGCAGCCGCCCCCCCTCCCCCCGGTGTCACTAAGCCTGGGAAGGCATTGACCATGCCGGCCTTCCTCCCCGGTGTCCCCTGGGCTCCACCTGCTACCCCCCCCTTCCCCCCCACCCCACCCCACCCACGCTCACTCTTCTTCTTCTTCCACTGTCTCCGGTTTTTCTTCGGACCTGGGAACCAGGAACTCCGGCTGTGGGGGCCGTGAGCTGTGACAGACAGAACCAGGGGACGGGGTGCAGTGGCTGGGGCTGAGCCCGGGCTCTGGGACCCCACTGGCCCCTCAAGCACGCACTGCTGTCCCTGGTGGCCCAGGATGGGATAAGTGTGACCCGTCACGCAGGGAGTTTAGGGTGGGCAGGAGCCCTGCCCCACCTTCTCACAGAAACAGGGTCTCCATGTAGCCCAGGCTAGCCTGCAACACCCTATGTAGCTGAGGATGGCCATAAAACTGGGCTCCTCCTGCGTCCTCGTGCCGATTGCGGGGTGCCGGGCTGTGGCCCAAGTCCAGGCTCGGAAGGTGCAGGTGGCAGGAGGAGAAACAGAGCTGGGCTTGCTGACCCACGCCTCCCACCCAGCGCTGTGGACACTGAGGCCCGGGTTCTGAGGCCAGCCTGGGCCACCCAACACCTTGTCTCAAGAGAAACAATGGGCCTCTGCACTAAGGATGAGGCCACCAGTGTCCGCAGCAGGGGTGCTGGGGGGCGGGGGTGCCTGGGGCCAGTGTGTGTGTGTGTGGGGGGCAGGGATTTGCCGGGGGAGGGGGTG